CATAGAGAAGTCGTTTAACTCAATGACGGTACCTTTATTTCAGTCTTACTTAAAATAATATTTAAAGGTCCAATTTCCAGACAGACAAATTTGTGCCTCTCAATTCAGGTTTTTTTTTTCATCAACTGTGTAGAGCAGAGCAATATGTGGGCTTTTTTTTTTGTTGCTTTTTTTAAAACTTCATTTTCATGCAAAAAATGCGAATTTTCTGTTGTTTTCTGTTGTTCAGTCATTTTCCTTATATTTAAGTCAAGAAATAAGTTTTGAAGGATTTTATTCCAATATTTTGTCAAACATGATAAGTGATTCAAGATATTTCAAGAGAAGGCACTGGGAAAACGTAATCCAAAATGCAACTATTTCAACATATGGATACAGTCTGCAGAAGTACAATAATGAGTTGCACACAAGTATTGTTCACAAATTTTGAAAAAACCAACTGCAATGCTCAAATATTTTTAATTAAAGATTTCCTTTTAAAATATCTCAATTAATCCACACATTTTTCGATAGAAGGGTTTTGTTTGATTCCTTGGGTACGAAAAATCAGCACGTCACTGTACCTAACTTATCAAAAGCAATTTCTGGAGAACTGCTGTAGTTCCAACTTCCAAGTGAAGTTCCACTGAAGCTGAATTACATTTCGATGTGATACTGTGTCTTCTGAAGGTTCAGCGTGAAAATAATTGGAGGGTCAGTGACTGAATAATTAACGAATCCTGGATGAATATAGGTCTTCCCCTACAAGGGCGAGGAGGAAGTCACTTAACTTTTGTATTGCCCTCTGAAAACTGTACTGTACCATACAATACTCTATTAATGTAATGGAACAAACCATTTGGTACAAAGCAATCTCCCGAAATCAGTTCTTATGAATTTATTTGAGAAATAGCACCTTTATTTAATACTCAGCAGAGCTACTTAAAAAAAAACCTAATTCTCCCCTAAAAGTCAGCTTGATGGTGTGCTAACATGTACCTAAATTTGAAAATGTTTATAATTGCTCAATGTCTCTCAAAAGGCCCTTGTATAAATAGAAAAGTAATTGAGCTGCTTCTTTCAGAGGCATTTTTGTTCAAAAAATCATAAATTTGCTACTGCCAAGTATACAGGTCAGATTCTGTTATAAAAGGAATTGTGCTGTTGAACAGAATTTTTCTTTCTAAAAACACTTTTTCAAGAGTCTGTCCAAAACTAAAATCACAATACTGAAAACTCGTGTTATTACCAAAATCCCATGATTCAGTACAGTAAATTTGTTTTCAGGATTTTCTGAAGTTCTATTTATAATTCTTTAACAAGAAAAAAAAGTTATGTTTGCTGGATGAAATCTTTACCACACTTTCTACTGCCTTTTTACTTAAAAGGAATGTCTTACTTTCTGGGAAATTTTTCATTTTCTTAACCATTTGTCCTGACAAAGTCGGAATAGAAGGAATTTTATCCTGGTCTAAAAATAATTTTAAAATGGAATGTTAATACAGGTTAAAAAAAATTATGTTGGAGTTCATTGATTTTTCTAAAGTGAAAGTGTACGTTACCACGTAATGGTACTTCCCCGCCCCAAGTATAAATACGAATTGTTCGTAAATTTATTAATTTAGACATGGGTCTTGAAGACACGTTTACCCTTTATGAATATTCCTTCCCATATATTGTATACAAGAAGTGGGTGTGACCTGAAGCGAAAGGTAAAGTATAATCTGCATGGAAAAAGCAATGAAGTCCTTTTCAGATATGTTTCATTTCCCGATTACGGCATGGCATATATACTGTACAGAGAAATCAACGCTGCATCGGATTCGTGAGAAAACCATGGGCTGTTGCTTAAATATACCAGCAAGAAAAAAAGGGGGGGGGATTTATTCAGGGAGGCCCTCAACCGCTTTCCGCCGCAGTTCCCAGAACAGCCCGGTTGGCAATCATGGAGCGTCACATATTCTGGGCCAGGACCGCGTCCGAGCTTGTGCATGGTTAGCTATCGACCAAACTGCCCGACGTTCACTCTTCCCACCCGGGAGTGATATAAATCCCTGGGGTATTTATAAACGCGCAATACAGTACACTGTGTACAGTATGGAACAGTAATTCCCCCCGCGTCCGTAACGTAGCCACGCTGTCCACCGCGTTCAGTTTTCACTTGATGAAACGAAAAATTTTGGATTTCGGGAAGGGTCAGTGCACGTGCCCGAATGCCGATTATTATTACTATTATTTCTATAGTAATCCCGCTTCATGTAAGTGGTTCTAGGAATCGCGCTCCGCGTTTTTTTGTCTCTGGTTGCGGAGTGCGAAGGAAGCTCGCAAGGCCGTGAGGTTTCCAATGTTGTAGCGAAATTCAGATATGTTTCATTTCCCGATTACGGCATGGCATATATACTGTACAGAGAAATCAACGCTGCATCGGATTCGTGAGAAAACCATGGGCTGTTGCTTAAATATACCAGCAAGAAAAAAAGGGGGGATTTATTCAGGGAGGCCCTTAACCGTTTTCCGCCGCAGTTCCCAGAACAGCCCGGTTGGCAATCATGGAGCGTCACATATTCTGGGCCAGGACCGCGTCCGAGCTTGTGTATGGTTAGCTATCGACCAAACTGCCCGACGTTCACTCTTCCCACCCGGGAGTGATATAAATCCCTGGGGTATTTATAAACGCGCAATACAGTATACTGTGTACAGTATGGAACAGTAATTCCCCCCGCGTCCGTAACGTTGCCACGCTGTCCACCGCGTTCAGTTTTCACTTGATGAAACGAAAAATTTTGGATTTCGGGAAGGGTCAGTGCACGTGCCCGAATGCCGATTATTATTATATAATAAAGATATCATTAGGGCGAAGTACATTCACCAAGATCCTTAGCGCGAGGCGCAAAAAAACAGAGACCAACGCCTCACGCTTCCTTCGAGCGTTCCGGCACTCCAAAGGTTACAACATCGCTTCTGGGCTCGTTTGAATAAGAGTGAGTGAGCGTCCGATAAGGTTGGCAACATCCGTTGCAGCTGTTGCTTTCGGATATCAAGGGCGAGTCTACGGGAAGTAGAGAGGGAGGGGGGAGAGGAGGTTTCGCTTGGGTGGAATGAGAGGGCACTACTGGCGGAGAGGGTCTTCCTGCAGAAAGTGTTCGGTGGACAGGTCAGATTCGCATTCTATGCACTGTACATGCGAGAAGAGCTTTAACAAAATTTTTCATTGAAATCTCGCATTTATAAGCAGGATCTCTGCAAAAATATTTTTTTCCTGGTTCCCTGAATTTTTTTATAGGAAGAATCCACGCATGTCGTGGTCACCAGAATCTGTTAGCTCGATTTTTCTTTTCATATTATTCTAAAAATCTTGGTGCTTTAAAAAAAACCTATGTCTTGCTACCCACAGAGATTCATTCCTTCATTACAAGAACAATAGCATATTTCATCGTTTAAGAAATGTCATGATTTCATATGCAAGGGATCATTTTAAAAGTGCATTTTGAAAAAAAGCTTTCACACAAATTCCATTTTGTTTGGAAGGTGATAATTGTGGGTGATACTGGGTAATTTGTTTTACTACATGTATTCAAGTCTTCAGGTAGTATTTTATTCTATTGTATCTCATTTTGCTATCACGTGTAGAGTATCTTGCAATGATTGGTTTTGTCCTTTGTAGTTTTTGTAAAACGTAATTGGTTGCTTATCATGATGTAAAGAGCACAATCTATTTGTGGAAATCATGTTTTTCCATTCAAAACGGTGTTGCTTCCAAAGCTCGCGTCAAAAACAACATCATTTTGATCTAATGGAATAATTGTTCATTCAATTGATATATTCTTGGGAGCACTTCTTGCCTCATATTCTTTTGAAGGCCTTTTTTCTCTTGAAAATAAGAATGTGGCAGTTAACTGATGATTTTTAATTTAATAAAATAGCTTGGACACTTCATAGCTTGTTCCAGAAGATCTTTAACCGAACTTAAAGGAGAAACGCTGTGAAAGTAGAAATGCAAGGCAGCCGGACACTTTCCATGTCTGACTGATACATGGAAGGTAGTTTGGATGCTCCACGAATTCCTGGAATCCGCGTCGGAACGCGCGTACTGTAAATAGAGGGACAGACACCCGGTGAGAGGCAACGGCTGTGAACTGGGCGGACCACAAGTGAAGCTTTGTGGAAAGACCGCAGGAATGCCCGTATGCAATTCACAAGTACCACTAAGTGCTTTTTTTTGGGGACTAAAAAGCATTCGGAAGAGTGGTTCGTATTTTTACGTTTCGTTCCTTCCCGCGGAGAAATTTAGGGATTTTGAACTTACAGTATTCCCACGTTATAGTCGCGCGATTCTGGAACGGAAGGCTTTTTGGGCCACTCCCATTCAAATGCACGGGGCGCATGGGTTTTGGAATACAGTACAGCGAGGGAAAGCTTCGTTCATACATTCCGTTCCGCCTCCTGTTCTCAATTTTCACCCGGATTTCGTTCGCTTTCAATATATCGGTGTACTGCTTCAGAAATCAGAGGTACTCCGATTCCAGACGTTTTAAATCTTCAATGTGAACAGTCTCGATATGTGAAGCGATTCCAGGAAAATGGGATAATGGCGAAATGCGAGTGTTACGAGCCGCTCCTGCTCCCGACGTTGGCATCGCTTTGCTGGCAACCCTGATCGTACGATCCTTGCGCGCTGCGTCTCGCTCTGCGATTCAGTCGCGCGTTGGCTCTTGTCTTCTACGGAACGAAATGCTGTGATACGGGATTGGAATTCAGTTTTCCGGGGATATGTGGCGCAGTCGCTGGTGATGGTGTTACAGTGAAAGGTTCAGCTTCCAAAGCAATGCTCTAGACTTTCTGTCATGTTCACTCTTTCCAGACTATGATGGATCACTGCGAACGACTGTTGTGCTGGAATCATGATACGCAGTGTTGAAACGGTGTGATCCGATCGCGTTGCGTTGGTCAAATCCAAAAGTGGAAATCGAAAAGGAGAAAGCGAAGTCGAGGAAGTTTCACCGAGGGCGATGCTCGAAGAAATGCGAACAACTGCAATGACATTCCCCGAGTATGCCAATTTCCCGTCGGCTGACAAACTGGAAGACTTATTGTGGATAGTCAATGATGATGAATCTTCGGCGCCTCCGCCGCCGTTGCCGCCGCGGTGTCCACGAGTGCCAAACGTGTCGCGGACGCAGAGTCTCAAAACGGGCCAGGAGGTGCCACGGCGGCATTTGGCCGCCCCGAGCGACGCTAATCATCGTCGACGCAGTTTGCGGCTGAGCACACCACCGCCACAGCACTCGTGTTGCCACCTACACTCACGCAGCACAGGCGGCTGCGGCTAGCCTCCGCCGCAAACAAGCAAAGGCTGCCTGTAAGTGTAACTAAACGCTCACGTCCACCTCCTGAAGCCTCGATACAGGTTTGTGATTTATTCCTACACATCACACTTGAAGTAGCAGATATTTGCGTACGTGTGAATCCGGCCATGTTCTACGCTTAGGAATGAATGTAATTTGTGTTGTTCTGAAAGTGATTTTTCGAATAACTTCACGATGACGACTTTGCTTACTACGTATCGGTGTGGTTCGTGTCTAAAGAAATAAAAGTTGACCCACGATAATTCGCACCTCCTTATGTAAAATATTTTTCAGAAAATGTAGTCCCTGTCTGAATTCTCGTCGAAGAAGTGCAGAAGAATTAGGAAACCTCCCTAAATCTAAGGCTTTCCTCCTCGTACCTCCATTGCTCGAATTATTAAAGCTATATCGAGAGAAGCACTGTGTATGTAACAATGTGTTTTGAAAGGTTATTCAAGGCTAGTTGTGTAATTAAACCCTTGCCTCCAAGTTCAGCATTCTGTCAACTAATTTTCAAAGCAATTCAAGGCCCACAATATTACGAATTACTATTTCCGGCAATTCTTCTATCTCCTCCATGAGAAAATGCTTGTTTCCTTAACTCAAAACTTCTCTTTTTCAATTTTTACTGGTCCCTTGAAGTTCGACTGTATTTCAACTCAATTGGACAAGATCTTTTCTACGGTGGTTTGATGTTCTTCTGTACTTCCGTTTTTCAATCTGCAAACAAACTGCTGAAATTGAACTTTTATGACTTTGAGTCGAGATCAATTTCTTCTTCATGGAATTGTTTAATTCCAATTTACACTGTATCAAGATAAAGGGATGGTATTCCCTCCGGAAGATAATCATTCTTGAAGTCTCTTTGTGGAATGACTTTTCAACTGCGGAACTTTGAGAAGAACTCAAATGTAATGCAGTGAATTACACTGTCCTCATTTTGCATAAAAGAGTTACCAGGTCACGTTAAGTATATCTAATGACTCCTATGTCAACTTAGTTACAAAGTTTTAAACGGAGAACACAGGGTTCAGGAACTACCTTGAGTAGCGGAAATGTAACAACAGTTTTTTGCGTTGCGTTAAAAAAGAGTAGAAGTATTTCGAAGCAGGAAAACCTGGGGAAAATCGGTCAGTAATGTACTAGGGAAAAGAAATGCAGATATTCTACTGTATTTTCATCGACTTACGAAAGCTAGTGCAGTGATACTCATGTTGTCATGCGCATGTTTAGAAGGAACTTGTGACGAATGACTCGGAATAAATTTAGAACTCTCTACGAAGTTTCCCGACGCACTGCTGCCTACGCAGGAACCTGGGACAGTTTTCGAAGGACGAAAAGTTGAGGAGATTGCTGCGCAATAACTTTTTGGACGAATTCTGTTTTTCCTTCATCGTCAAAGAAATGTGGAATACTTGTTGTGTAGGGGTTTTCTATGTGGTGAACTGGGTAGATTTGGTCTAATTTTAAAATTGAGGCAATCAAAAGCTTGCGAATAAATCGACTGTGAAATCAGCATGAATTTAGTGTCTAACAACAAATTGTTCTCGTTCACGAAAGTGGTCCGTAATTTTTAATTTTGCTTAGATTTTATCGATCATTTTTTTGAGTAGTGATCCAAGTACAGTACAGTACGTTTGATACTGAATCAGTATTCATAGAGGCGTCAGTATTCTGAAAGATTTCAAAGACTCACTCCATGAACTGATCGTGGTTTTGAAGAAAATTCAATGGCGAATTTTAGTGCAAAAATGGTCAATCGGATTTTGTGACGAACGTTTTCCGTGACTTTGAAAGACGACGATAACGCTGATTGTTTTTCCTGTCACTATTTTCTGTATTATCCCGGAAATTTTTCTTCGTGTCGAAAATTTTCGGCGTTGTGGGATTTTCGTGGATGAAGAAATGCTTAGCTTGAATGTTCACTGAAAGCCAACAGTTTACCAGTGTATTCATCGAATGTAGAAGTTCACAACGTACTTGCAACGGTTCTTCATTTCATCCCAAAAAAACCTGCTCATTTTTTTTACTTTCAACCTTGAATAAATGCTTGAATGATGCTTGAATGCGTGACGGTTACGACTCGCGAGTGAGGTTGTGTTTTAACCTTCACTTGCTACTACGCAGTGAAGTTTCAGTAGAACAGACTGGGGGAAAAAATGAAAATGCTCACATCCCGAAAAAATTCGGGTTCGAGTCACATTGATGATCATTTGTTTTATTTGGTTGTCTGTAATTCTGGAATTTAACTTTCGAGGTAAATTGTGTGTTCATACCGCAGATTTTACTCTTATTCTCGTAATTTTTACTTGAAACTTTTTTACTTAAGCAAGCTCACGTTCATGAGAAAAATAAAACGTTTTCCGCGTGTTTAATCATGTCATAAGTTCTGCACCACGCGCCGTCTCTTTATCGACATGACAGTCGCACATGTGACATGTCTATAGTAAAGTGTGTGTTACTCAATGTGACACATTATCTTTTCTGTGAAATGTCATGTGATGCCCGAAAAGTACTTTCTACCTACGCACTTGTATTTTTCACGACGGAGAAAGGAGTCCGTTCTTCTGGGGAAGTGTTGACTGATGTCAGAGGAGCTTTTTGTGTTCTTTTTTGTGCTTACGAAATGTGGGAAATCAGGGACAGTTTTTCTTTTAAATTGACGGACAGACGCTCAAATTTGTTGAATAATCCCGCGGACAATTGTTTCATTTGCGATTTCGTCTCGACCAATTTAATGTGCTAACCTGAAAGACTTCGTATGTTTTTAAATGGTGTCTTTTCCTATTTAGATGTGTTCAATTAAAATCAGTGGAAAGATCTGAACTTGTTTTGTGAACAAAATTGCAGACTCACAGAGTTGAGAAAGTATTTCATGGACATTTGTTGCATTGCGAGTTGATCTAAACCAATTCAATCATCCCACCCCAACGGTGTTTTGATAATGTATTCTTATTTCAATGCGTTCTTTTAAAAATCTTGTCACTTAGAAAAGTTAGAATTGGAAATTATTTTCGTATCCAACTTGGAATTTAGAATAAATGAGGTAGAATAAGGTAGAATGAATAAGACCTTTTTCGGCATGATTAATCAAGTTTCGGTAGAATCGCCACGAGTATCTGGAATGTGACACCATCTTTGGTCAAATTCTTTCTTAGTAAAGAATTTTCTCCGAATTCAGCCAAATTAAATAAATTCTGTCCTTTTTTTGTGAATATTTTCTCCTCCTACAGTGTTCAATTGTGCCTGCTCATGAATGACAATTTCGAGAATAATTTGTCGGTTTTCAAGTAATTTTTCCGATTTTTCGTGATCTTCGCATAAACCATCCTCAAAATTTTCATTGCATCCATTAGGCGACTTGTGTGCAAACTTCGAGCAATTTTTGCTATCGGTTTCGTTTTTTTGGAAAATTTTGAGGGGGAAATTTAGCCTCAGGTGAACTTGAAAAAATTCAGTTTTCTCATAAAATTGCAAGTTTTCAACCGTGTTCCTTTCTATGGGATTTTTTGTGCTGATTTTATACTCCTCAAGCAAAAAGAAACCATCGTTGGAATCTGTTGAAACGGTTGCAAATATTGCATTTAAAAATGTGATGCCTGAATAATTTTCACAATGGGATCCCGATTTTATGCTGGGGAAAAAGTGCTGTAGATCTTCTGAGCTTATTGCTCCATTATTTTAAGCATCGCACTTCTGCCCAAACATACAGTATTCTACTATACAGTACAGTACTTAACCTCTTTTCTTCTTGTTGTCCTCTGAAGGGCTCTTTGGTCTCCCAAAAATACCTTCAGCGCACGTGCTCGAGGTTTGATAAACGCATGTTCGTTCCCTGAAATACGACCTGGGATTTTTCCTGGTATTCCAAACAACCCGAGCTTGATCAATAAAACAGGGATTATAACATAAGGAGAACTATGTTTGATGACGTTTTTGTGCGAACAGTTGTGCCTTTGGAGGGTCTCAAAATTTCTTGGACTGAATCCCGTTTTTTTAATAAAGGTTTTCGAAATTTCCGATCATTTTCCCGTTTGATTGATTATCGCAGAAATTCTTGGAAAAGTGATCAATTGATATTCGTTGTTTATAGGATATTTTAATTTAATCGAATAACGCATTGCTTAGGTTTTTATACCGTTTGTTTGCAAAAATTCATAAATACGAAAAAAAATCTCACCCGACTTCCAAAGCTCATAAAATTCTGTGAAAATTCACTAAAGCTGAAAATGGTCCCGAATCTATTCGTAGGAAAGATATTATTTGAAAATTTTCATGATCATTGAACGAGAGATTTGAAAATGATTAAATGACTTTCTCAATGCCAAGAAGTTCGATGAATAGGTGAATCGTTTTTGATGCCTAAATAATCTTCATTAAGGCGAAGCAAATGCGGTATTTGAAAACACTTATGGAAAATGCACAAATGCTGAAGAATTTCTCAAATTAGGCTTATTTTTGGAAAGCGATGTGCAATTTTTCAATTTTGACTAATAGTTTTCGATGCCATTCGTTACCAAAAAATTTATTTTAAGTGAGGTTAAAAAAATTCCGGACATATTTTCCCAGCGCAAATTTTATCCAAAAACTACGCGAAGATTTGAAAGAGCTGAAAATTTTTGTTGAATCCAAGTCGCTCATTAGTTTTCGAATACTGTATTCCTTGCTTAATTTTTTCCCTTTGCCAGGTTATTTTTGCTTTCGCCATTTGCTCTTGTCTTGAAAAATGTCGGCGTGTGAAGGGATGATGATTTGTGTACTTTAAATTTCTGCGTTTATTTTCCACGTTGAAAATTTGGATGGCAAATTGTAAATTTGTTGATTGAATGAACGAATTTGTCTGACGATGGCTTTTTTCTTTCTTTTCCTCTTTTTTTCCGTTAGGTACCCTTTCCAAGCCTTGATCGTGGACGACTCTTCGTCTGCGGATCCGCTGGGCAAGTCCCGAGGCGGCGGCGGCCGCCCGGAAGACGTGGACTGCATCGCCGCCACTCAAAGCCGCCTCCGGGAAAGCGGCTTCTACTACGAGGGCGTCTCATGGCAGGAAGCCATCGACCTGCTGGCCAACAAGCCCGAGGGCACTTTCCTCGTTCGCGACTCTCAAGACCCCCGTTTCCTCTTCAGTCTCAGTGTGCAAACGAAACGAGGCCCGACTTCCGTTCGCATCCACTACGACGACGGCTTGTTTAGTTTCGACGCTGTGCGAAAAATGGCTCGAGCCGTGCCGCGGAAAAAGTGCGTCGTTGACTTGGTGGACTTTTACGTGTCTGTGTGCGATTCGGACCGACTCAAGTGTCACGTGTGGTTGGACAAGAACGGCGACACGTTTGATCACGTGCGACTCCGGGCGCCGCTCAAGCACCGCGTGGCGCCGTTGAAGCACGCGGCGCGGTTGGCGTTGAATCGGGCGGCTGTGACCAAGGCGGACCTGGCCAAGGTGTTGCCGGCGTCGTTGAAGCTCTACCTGGAGGAATATCCCAACACGAGCTGATGAAACCTTTTTCTTTCTCTTCTTTTTTCTTTTTTTTTTACATTCGCTATGGATGTTTTTAGAATTAAGAATTAATTTTATCATTTCGGGGAGAAGAGAGTGTTTATTCCCAAATTATATATTTTTGCCGTTGTGCGAATCTGTGCCTGTCCTCATCTCGAAACGTTCAAGATACCTTTGCTTTGCTTTGCTGTCTTTTTTTGTTTTTGCTGTTGAACCTCTTCAAGTTGAACTGCAAGGAAAAAGCAAACAAAGGTTTCAGGTTAGGGAAGCAAGCTTTTTTTTGTTTTGTGGGAAAAAATGAAGAATTACATGAAATTGTTAAAGGGGAATATTCTGGGCCTTGAATTGCCTTTTGAATGAGTTTAAGTTGAAAGCAAAGGGTTATTTGCCGAATCACTTCTCAACTTTCTTTCAAAATGCGTCAAGTTAAATGATTTCCTTTTTTCCTGTGGAAATAGACTAATATCCGAGAGGCCTTGAGAGAATTCGAGTGATGGAAGTTTTCAATACAGTACATTATTTCTAAGTGAATACAGAAAGGGATTTGACAAAATTTGACATGGGGAGGTATTCGACTTGAAGAGGTTCAATTAATCGAGGTTTAACTGTATTATGATATTTTTGCTTTTGAAGTTTTTTACTAGTCCAAATGTTTGTTGAGCGATGAAATCACACGCTTAGTTCAATTTGCGAAGATTATCGCGGAAGATGTAAATTTTTCTTTGAACTACTGTACATGGCAAAGTTTCAATACTGTACTTGCCTTGCTTAGCAGGGGAGAAGACGTTTTGTCTCGATTTTACCATTTTTACGCTTGTTTTTTTCTCGTTCGTTTCTTTCAAGTTTAAAAGAGAAATATTTTTCGAATGTCTCGAGAACAAAGTTTCCTGAATCTCGATCAGATAGTGGGATTTTGATTCCAGGATCGAATGTTACAATGCATAGGAGGTTCTTAGCTGATGAAAATGCGAGCTTTATACATTTATGGACGATTCTTGAGCAGATTATTTTTTTTAACGTCGAAGTATGTAAAAAAAAACTTTATATTATAGGGTTTTATTTATTTGGAGTACGGTATGTTCGTTTCGCAAGAAACGCGTTAACTTCGTGCACTTTTGTCATTTTTTTTTGTCCTGAACCTCGTTTTTGTTCCGAGGAATGAATTCCGAAGTTCCTGTTGAAATTTCCGAGCGAAGTTTTCTGGTCTGCGCAAAAGCTTGGGATTTGCATATCAGCGACAAATTTCAAGCAAATCCCGACAAATTCAGTGTAAAATTATGAGTAACTGTCGTATTTAAAATTTGCTGTTAGATTTTTTGGAATGGAATTTTAAAAATCATGCAGTATATGTTGCGAGCCCAAACGGAACAAAAAATTTAACTCACCCTAAAAAACGGAATTTTTCAAAATCGGAATATAATTAGAATTAGTTGCGTTAAGAACCATAATTCCGTAGGTTTTGCTTTCGGTTTTTCCCATGAAGAGAGCTGAATTTTTAAATTCGATTTGATGTGTTCTTCTTGGTCGAGCGAAGAATTTTTATGAATACGCCTGTATTTTTACCATACTGTATTTCTATAGTTCCTTTCTTCTAGCATTCCGAAACCTGTAGGAGGTCTAGAATAGAACCCTCTGAATCATGCTTATCGGTTATTTTATGTTCGTGGAAGACCTTTTTGAGTCAGGTTAATTTTATCAGACTTCCCAGAGTAAACATTTGTGTTCGAGTTCTGCAGAATTATTTTCGAAAGCCCGTTCCAAAGATTGTAGTTTGTGAATCAGTATTAAATTTGGGGAACTCGAATTCTTAGCCGCGTTTCTACAAAATCACTTCTTGAGGTTGCAGTTGAGCTCGATTTCCCGCACTGAAGCGAATATTTTGAAAAATTATGAAATGATTTCGTAATCTTGGTTCAGTATTTTTGACTCATCCCCTACTTGAAAAAGAGGCACTAGAAATATAATCTTGAGTAAATATGGGTTTCGAGATGAGGACGGACATGAAATGACTTGCTTCGATTTCACGATTCGTGTTCAGGACAGAGACGAAAGCGTTTGTGGACTGAAGAACTTTTTTTTTTTTTCGTTCGACGCTTTTCGCACTGTTCTAGGATCAAGCAGTTGCCAATTGTTCAGCCCCGCCAATTTCGGAAGAGTTTTATTTATAAAAGAAAAGCATTTCCCTTCCGAAATTTACGTTTTTTTTTCGTTGCGTGTTTATGAAAGAAAAATTTGTACCGGAAAACCCGCCGACAAAAAAAAAAAGGTCGGGTCCAGTGATGTTGAGGTACTGTGATTTTTTAGGGTTTTTTGTTTTTCCTCGAAAATTTATTTGACTTCTCAAAAATGTGTTGGTGCGTGTGTTTTGTATCGCTTGTGTTGGCGGTCATTTTGCGCGATGTTCTTTTCGCACGTGGTTCTTTGGGCGGAATGGGCCGAGGCACAAAGAAAATTCCTCGAAGCGTTTTCAAGTTTTACAATTTTTAATCCCCTTTCCCCTCGAATGTTTTTTTTTTCCTGCTGATGTCACGCCTGCATGAACTCGGAGAAGTTCGCTGTAGTTTTTTTTTTTTTTCTGGAGAAATCGTCGGATTTTGTGTACGGTGGAATTATTTGGGGTCATGTGCCGAAAGAATGACGACTTTGGTCTCTGACGAACGATTCTCTTTATTTCTTAATTCTGCGATGTTTTTCGGCTTTTTCAGCATAAATTTCGTATTTATTCGTGTTAAATGCGCACTTTTTCCGATTTTTTTTTTCGTAAGTATGATAAGTTGTATTCACTCAACTTTTCAACATCGTATGAATTCCATGCACATTTTTCACTCTACTGATGAAGACAAGCTTGAAGCGTGTTTCGAAAACTACAATAACTAAATATTGGAAAGGAAAATGAGCGAGTTAACTCGTTTTTTTCTTGGAATAAAATTTAGATTAAATAAGATAGTCCTGGATTTTGCTAAAAATAAAAGTTACGTGAACCCACATCTTGTACTTGCAATGTATTTTGTTTGAGTAGATTCAGTTATTTCAAAGTCTGTGCCATATTTGTCCACGGTCTAAAATTTGATTCCTGACAAATGAGCAAGTCGTGATTCAAATGCGATTGAAAAAAACATTTTATTAAGTTTGAAGAACGAAAAGGCCTCAAATTGACATCTTCTGAGAGCGTAAAATTTCTCAGGGTAAGTATATTCCTTTTTTTTCATTCAACACCTTGAATTGTTGGTACACCTTTTCAGGAAAAAATTTCTGCACCCCAAAATTCGAGGTACTCGTGGTTCGCCTTCTGAAATGAACCCCAGAATTTGAGTGTTTCAAAATCTTTTGTACAGCATTCTTTTGACTGCGTTTATACGGCGTTTCTATCTTCTTTTCATCCTTCATTTACACGGGAATGCTGATTTGCAAACAAAGGGAAATGATAGAAAAGAAAAAAAATATTTTTCCACGATGACTTCTCACTTTTTTTTATTTTCGCTTCGGCAGACGGTTTCTTGGAAGTCGGTATCGTTGTCGCTTCTGCCGAAGTGCTTTCGTTTCGTGGTGTGCGTTCGTACGTAGCTCTGGAATCGTTCCTATTTCCTTGAATCCACGTCGGAGCTGTTGAATGACTCAACACGAACGAGAAAGAAAAAAAGTTTCAGAATTAATTTTAAGCTGCTTGGGTAAAGTTCGAGGATTTTTAGAGCGAATTGTGCAACGGCTTATGAGATTTTTGCCGTCTAGAAATTTGGTCGAATTTTCCGGGAATCAATTTTCCTCAAAAATATTTTTTTACGTGGCAGGAGGGGTTTTACAGCCCTCCGGATTTTTTTTTTTAAAGAGATGAATGGGCACTAATTCTTAATTTTTTGCGAATCGTATCAACATCACAATGATTGTTCCGAAAATTCTTAAATAATTATAAGTTGGGACAGGCATCCGATTTATTCGTGCCAAATTTCGGAGAGGATTTTTGAGTTACTCCGCGACACTCACAAAATTAAATGTAATACAGGTGGTACCTCGCAATTTGACCCTAATCCGTTGCTGGACTAGAGTCAAATTGCAAGACAACGTTCAATGACATGTTTTTTATACGGCATTTGAAGTTTTGCGCCTTTCCCCAGGTCAAATTGCGTGGCAGAGGTCAAATTGAGAGTCAACCTCCACACAAATTTGGCCATTGAATTGTGGGATGGTCAAATTGCAAGGTACCACCTGTTTTGCACAAGCAGACTCTCTCTGAAATTATCTTGTTCATAATCATCATCTGTGTGAATTGAATTTTCTATTGTCCTCAAGGGGTTATCTGCCAAAAATTCTCTAAAAAAAAATGCTTTTTGGTCCCCTGAATTTTGTTTATCAAGAGTCAAACAAACTATATTTCCTGAAGTACCGCATTCACCTTTACCTCAAAATTGAGGAGGAAGAAAGGACTGTCAGTTATAGATAAGTACAGTGTACAATTTTCAAAAAGCTTTAGAAGTTTAGATGTCCATGATAATTGATTCCAATGGGAAACCTTGAACCAATTTTTTCAACAAGAACTCAGTAACATGGAAACAGTCGAACAGTCATTGAATTCGGGTTCAATTCGTGTCTGAATTAAAACTTGGGTGTTCTTATTTTTGAAATATTAAAAATTTTGTGTTTCTAGAATTGGTGAGCGTCTTCAACTCAGGGATACAATTTATTCAATATTTTAGATTGGAAACCTGTGCGTAAGGCACTTGAGTAGATACGGAAATATTTTAAATTGAATTTAGTGCACTTCAGTTCATACGTACTTCATCTGAAAATTTTCTAAAATGCTTATACAGCAATATTTTTGGATACATTCAAACTACAGTATCAACTGTTGGAGCGTCTGATGAGACGTCCAGCAAAAATGTTAACATACTGTAATTCATTAATTGACGCAAAAACACTTCTGCAATAATGCCTTTCCACGTGTAGCATTGTTGAAAGACATAACTATCTGGAATTTATACCGAAATGTCTGACCGAGTTTT